CCATTTGGGTAGCTCCTTCTCTCTGTGGCTCCTAAGCCCTTAAGCACCACAAATGTGACATTCTCACTGAAACTAAGTCCAACCCCAACCTGACATCACAGTTTTTGAGGTCAGTCACTGTGCCCTATTGGAGGCTCAACTAGTGCTAGCCAACTGTCCAGTGAATGTCACTAGACTCAGGAAAGATCAAGGGCACAGAGAGACACTTGCAGACAAGGGGAGAGTAATAAGAAAGGAAATAGAAGGCTCATGGGGACCAGGGGTGGATCCTCATTCTCAGTCACTCTCCCTTCAGTCGCCTGGCGTGGGCCCCACAAAAGGACCAAGCTCCACTCGTAACCGCCATGTGGCCGGGTCTCTTCCTTCCCGCCTCTGCCCCCTTTCCCCTGAGAGGCTGCTACTCACCCTTCACATCTCAGCTTAAACATGGCTTCCCAAAGGAAGGGCCATTTGACCAGGTCAGCCCCACCCCCTGCAAATGCCCTTAGCTCCCTGTGCCTTCCTCCTGGAGCGTTTGCAGGTACACAGTCAGTTCTAGAAATGTTTGCTCACTGTCTTTCCCCCATCAGGCTGGAGGCCCCACGAGGTCAGGACCCCATCTGCCCTGGTCCCTGCTCTAGCAGCCCAGTGCCCAGCCATGCCAGACACACAGTAGGCTCCAAATACATGGGGGTGGCACATGGGCTGAGGATCACAGAATAGGTCCCAGGTCCTGCAGAACTTGACCAGGTGGGTGGCAGATCCCCAGGTCCCTGGGACCACTGGGTTAGAACTTTACTGCATGTGTCAGGGTGCCATGGGGACCCTGCAGAGTCATGCTGTAGCAAAGCTTTGACCAGACAACCACAGTCCCTTCCTAAGGTCCAAAACTAAAGAGAAATGACCCAAATCTCACCCCATGGAACTGAGTCTCCACGTTCCATCAAGTTCAAGTTGCTTCCCTGGCTCTCTCTTCCTTCCTCTTCACCTTTGTCAGTCCAGCTTTATGGGGCATCTCCTATGCACCTGGCATGTCCTGGGTGCTGTATTTGGGCCATCAGAGGCACATGAGCCCTGGCCCTGTCCTTGAGGGCCTCCCAGCAGAGTGAGCCAGTACAGGAGGGTAGGACGGGCCGCACCAGAGGCTGCAAGGAAAGGAAGGAGAGGTGGCCTCTATCAAGGGAGCCTGGACACCTTCCCAGAGGTGGCATCAGGGGTGTGTGTCTTGTGGGGACGGGTCAGGGCCCTAAAAGACTGGCAGGATGCAAGGCTGAAAAAAGGGTAGGGCTGGACTAGGGGTCCCGCTCATGATTCCATAAATCCAAAATGAACTGAGACAGGGCTTAAGCAAATGGATAATCCCATCTGATCTGCTTTAGAAAGATAACCACCTGATTCCAATTAGGGAAGTGCAACACACACACACMMCACACACACACACACACACACACACACACACACACACACGCCATAAGGAAACATCTCAGCTTTCTATCAATGAGACCTCTGTTGGCCAGCCCAGGAGCCAACAGCCTTCCTACTGAACTTCAGGAGCCTGGCACCCAAACCCATCCTTAAAATGAAAATCATGCCTGGTGTGGTGGTGCACACCTGTAATCCCAGTGACTCAGGAGGCTGACGCAGGAGGATCACAAGTTCAAGACCAGCCTCAGCAATCTAGTGAGAACTTGTCTCAAAAATAAGTGGCCGAGGATATAGCTCAGTGGCACCCCTGGGTTTGATGTTGATGCCCAGTGCACCCCCCAAATCACAATCCAATAGCAATGAAACCAAGGCCTCATGAGGGCTTATCCAAGGACTCCACAGCGTGAGAGGTTGCAACACAGGAAAGAAGGGAGCGCGCCGCGATGCTGAGCATCCCTGAGGACTGCCATCCCTGCCTTCGTGAGGCTCAAGTAGCAGCTGACTACTGGCAAAGAAGGGCCACCTCCAGCAGGTCAGGCCGGGCTGAGCGACTGCAGCCAGTGACTGCACGACCAGGATCCCAAGGGAGATCCAGATGAGCAAAGTGACTGAAGGCATTAGGAATTCACTGGGAACTGTCACTGAGCAAAGGACTGAACACTGCCTAGGAAGAAGGTGTCCCTAGAAGGAGAGCATCTAGCAACTGCGCTCAAGGGCCATGAATGCCACAGAGATCCCTCTCTGGGCGAGTCACAGCAGCAACATCATCGTTGGAATGTGCCAGAGAATGCACCCCAAATGCCCAAAGAAGGTGTCTAAAAACTAATTGAGTTGGGAGTGGGGGTGGGGGTAGATCAGTTGGGGCAGAGGTGTCTAGCAAGCCTGAGGCACTGCGTTCCATCCCCACGGCAACAAAATTTAAAAAGAATTAGATCAATTTGTGGCTCTTAGCAAATGACTCCTACTCCAGAGGGAGAAAGAAAGTCCAGTACTAAATACCAGAAATGTAAGAGATGTGAAGAGCCCACAGCTGGGATCCCTGACCTCATCTCACCATCCCCATCACTTCCGGCTCAGGAGGGGTCTCCCATGGAGGACGCCAGGGTCTGAGGAAGTTACTGTTATTTCTGTGCCTATCCTGTCACCAGCAGTGGCCAAACCAGTGAAAACACAGGTTCTCAAGTGTAAATGGGCATGACAACATCAGGATTCCTGGCCAACTCCAGACTTCTTCAAACCGTGTGGGAGTGGGCCCTGGAATCTGCATTTTAACAGGCTGTGAAATTGAAACTTCTCTAAATTCTTTATTAAGAAATATTTCAGCCAAGCACGGTGGTGCATGCCTGTAATCCCAGTGGCTGGGGAGGCTGAGGCAGGAGGATGGCAAGTTCAAAGCCAGCCTCAGCAAAAGCGAGGCACTAAGCAACTGAGTGAGTCCCTGTCACTAAATAAAATATACAATAGGGCTGGGGCTGGGGCTCAGTGGTTGAGTGTCCCTGAGTTCAATCCTGGTACCCTCCCCGCCCCCCCCCCCAAAAAAAGGAATATTTCAACCCCTCTGAAAAAATCCAAGTAGCTTTTTGAAAAACGAATTTTTTCAAATTCTGACCAACAGACAATTTATATTTCCCATGTAGATCCATATATTAAAAAACAGATTATAGGTTGATATGTGAACGCACAAAAATATTCATAGTAGGCAATCTAATTCTTAACATTAAAATCCCCAATTTGCACAGATGAAGGAAACATAGAACAAAAATGCTCAATTTTGTTTTCCATCTTAGTAAAGCAAATCAAGCAGAATCTGCCACCACAGAAGAAAGAAATGATCTCCCTGTCTTGAAAAGCTACAGGAAGCATTTTTCATCTTTGATGTGCATGTGGACCGCAAAGCAGTTCCGGGCAACATGGCATAAACCCAAAGGCATCATTTTGATTCTCTGCACATCGTTTTGGATTTCATGTGCATCTATGCTAATTTTCTCTCTCCAGCCTATTATTTAAGCCTTCGAAGGACAGATGTGCCGCTTTATAGGGCCATAATCCACTTGGTGGGCGGATAACGAAGAGGCCTTTGGTCTTCCTCATTTACTCCAATAAGAAAAGTAGAGGATTGCCTTGTAAAACAGCATGTCACTCATGCCCTGGTTTCCATGGAATGTAACCTACAGAACTCCTCAGACCAAATGCATAAATTCATCATGGTCAGAGAGATGACCCGAATTAGCTCCAGGCTGAACAGAATGATGCAAAGGCCAACCTGGGGGTATAAATAGGAAAAGCAAGAGGGTCACAAAGTGACTTCCAGAATTTTAGGCCACACAGGACTGTGGTTCACTGTTCTGAGGATGAGAAGGAAGAAATTCCAATCCTAGTAGGTTCTTAAATCTCTGGATTGAATGATAAATTCTGAAATCATTGCTAAGGATTCCCTGCACATTCCTTTCCTTCTTTCTCTCTTTTTTAACCTCCATCCCATGCATGTGGAACCCTGAGTGACCTCATGGTGGGACTCGAGCACACCATGCAAGAAGCCCTGGTTAAGGACAGCATTGGCTGATGAGAAGTGGCACTTGTACTTGCAAACTCCAGAATGGGCTGCACTATCTCCAAATGAACCACCAATAACAAAGATTAGGGTTGCTGCAGCCCATGTCCAGTCCCGGAAGACCACCTGCTCCATGCACACCAGCACCCTTGCCAGCGGGTAGGAGGAAGAAGAGTTCATGAAGGGCTATAATTGCAAGCAGCAAAAAGAAATTATTAAAAATACATAAACAACCAGACATTAACTGTGGGTTCTGGACATGCCACCTCTGTTTGATTTTTCTTTTTCTGAGAAGGTTTGGAACTCTTGAGACCCAAGCGCTGGGCACAGCTCTGACTTTCCTAGTCACATAACCTTGAACGATCCCTCGATGACTCTGGGCTCTACCTTCCCAACACAGAACAGGGCCTAGGTCACATGAAACACCGAGCAAGGATTTATAGAAGGCTTGAACAATAAAAAACCTGCAAAATGAGCACATACCAGGGAATCTCAGAGATGCCTTCCAGTCTCAACATTCAGCAGGCCTAAGATTTCTTTGTCACAGACTCATGTCCCTGTCATCCTACTCTTCTGCAAGTGTGTCCCAACAGACTCATCTCTTGGTACTCAGGACATTGCTACCTTGCATGTCGTCATCACCATACATTTTACGACACCCCTCAATCATATCATTTTTTAAAAACACTAATCAATAGAGCTTTTAAAGTCCTATGCAATATTTCACAGGCTATATAAAGAAGTATTTAAATTTTCCTTCCACTGTTGTTTCCTGCTTGATTTCAAGAGTTAAATGAGCAGTTTCCCATGCTTTGTGTCTGGTATGTTTTTCCTCTCCATTAAAATGCTAAAGGTGCCCCCCCCCCCTTCAGGAGGAAAGAAAGAAATCTTTCCCCTGCAATTTACTTTGGCTTTCTCAAAAGTTGGGCAGGAAAGTCAGTGTAATTCAGGTGGAATCGAAAATGTTCTTGTACAAGTGTGCGCAGGAAGAAAGCCTATAATTTCCGAGCATTCTTTTAGGAAGTTTGTATTCTCTGTTTTCCAGGGAGCCTTTACTTTCCAAGGGAGTATGATCGACATGCCATTACTGAAGCAGGCCCAGAACATTGTCACGCTTGCCACATCCATCAAGGAAAAATGATCTGTTCAATGCAGCTCTCATCAGGTGGGCTGAACATATACAGTGGGTTTCTTAAAGACACACCGTACCACTCAGGGCACCTCGTTAAGCATGCCAGGTTTGGACCTTCCTTGGTCTGCAGTTCGCGTTAATCACGATTTTTCCCGTTGTTGTCTTACTGGTCAGCTATGCCTCTAAAAATGGACTTTCTTCCTTTGGAGTCCAAATTTATGATTGTATTGTTGTTTATCAATGTTTGACGAATATGGGTTTATGATTTCACAGGGAGAGAAAATCACGGGAAGGATGGGCAGTGAGAGGAAATTAGGTCTTTCTTGAAACAGATCTTTCCCAAATGCACATATGCCTGCACTCTTCTCATGTTGGGAAAGGTTTCCCACGTTGTTCATCTCTACAGCCGGCATCACAAATAATTTTAAGAAGGGCCAGGTTTTTAAAGAATAAGAACAAAATTAAGAGTTCCTGTCTATTTCACTGATTATCTGATAAAACATTATTAAGTGTTATATTGGCTTGTAAGATACCTTCTAAAAATACTTTCAAACTGATTCCTTTAACCTTCATCCCCCAAATGCAGCCTCCACACCCTGAACTGCCCCCAGTACAGCTCCCGTCCTGGGCGTTGGATGCTTTGGGTCAACCGTTGCCGGCAATTAAAAAATAAATGTGCAGAAACACAAGACCATCCATTCTCCCCTTTATTCTCCCGTTTAACTGTTCGCCATTGAGGCCATTTCCCCTCTGTAAATGTATGGCCAGGACAGGACTCCCTCAGCCATAAACTTGTAGCCTCTCGGAAGACACAAAGCCACGGGGCTGGTGCCTATGGCCCCCTGCAAGATTTGCATCACATTAGAGATGCTGCTCCAGGTCATATGGGTGGTGTGGTTAACGGGCTTAGTAAAGCTGTTTTGAAGAGGTTAACCCAGCTTGTAGTAAGGGTAAATAAACATAACAACCAGCCATTGTTCCCTATTCAGCACGTACTCTTATATTGAAGGCTAAAGGGTATTGAAGCTGCGGAGGATCAACGTGTGCGTGCCCAGAGGACGCCAATGAAGTTTGAAACACCAACAATCAGAGATTTTGTTTCTGTTCCTCATTAAATCATGAGCTTTTGTGTCGAGACTCTGGACGACTGTTCTTTAAGAAATTAACAGAATGGGAAGTTTTAAACTCTACACCAACCTTTTCATGACCTACACAGCAGCRACGCTGCTGCTCTTAGACGGACTCCGCGGGGAAGGCTGTTCTGTTTATTTAAATTTGTAAATAGAAAACAGTTGTTTTTCAGTTTCATTTTTCACCTCCTCCTATGCCCTTGTGGCTGATTCTCTCCGTGGCCCCTAGCATGTGCCCCAACCATGGGTCTGCTTTCCCCACCTCTTCCCATTCCTACAGGAAGCCCAAGAGGTGAGCAGAGGTGAAGTTTAGTTACAAGCAGAGGCGCCATTACACCCAAGCCGAGTGGGAAACCCCACCACTGCCATGGGACCCCACCCTCCAGCGCAGGGCAGGAGGGGCAGGACCCTATTCCAACTGGCTCTTGGGAGGACCAAACCCAGGCGACATGGCTCTGGGAAAACATATTCTTGGGACATCAGTATTCCCAAACAGGGGTCCCGAGGAGCCAGATCTTAGGTGGACATGGGACATCAGGCGGGGCCACATGCTTTGGGCAGTACATCTCCCCTGCCCCAAGCAGCCACCCAAGCCCTTCGTCAGGACCGATCACCCTTCCTCCCTCAGTGGGCAGGAAGGAAGAAGATGGCATGTGGCCACCTTCAGAGGTGATGGGCCACCCGCTGAGCTGCACATCAGGACCGCAGCAATGGGCAAGGGCAGCAGTTCCCCAGGAGCACCCCAGGCCCGGCAGCTACAGCCGGGAATCATGGACCACAGTGTCACAGTGGAGACGGAGCATGGGTGTCCACACCCAGTGTCTGCTCAGAACACAGGTGGGAAGACTGCTCAAAAGTCAGTCTCTCTCTCTCTCTCTCTCTCCCCCCCTTTCTCTCTCTCTCTCTCACACACACACACACACACACACACACACACACACAGAAAAAGCACTGGTCCAGGTAAGCCCTTGGCTGTGAGGGGACACAAGGGCACACATTCTGGTCTCCACGCCTCCATGCGGGCGGCCTCCACATCCACACAGGTGGGACTCCTCAGGTCAGGCCTTGTGGGAAGTCTGGCCGCCTCCCAGGGAGTCCCACCTGCCTGGCAGAAGGCAACAGGAACTCAGAAACAGCAGCCCTGCAGCCTGGTCTTGGCTTGGGACTAAGAGCAGGGCCTGGCTGGAACTCCTACCCCATTAGCAACAGGCCCATAGGTTCCTAGGTCCTCACCATTGGTGGCCTGCTCACCAGACCCTTGTCCCAAATTCTGTTCAAACAAACCCCCTTATTGTTTAAGTCTCCCCAGCGTGATCTTACTCAACCCAGTGGTCCCCCTTACAGTAGAATCATGACACTGGGACTGGCCAGAGCCAAACACTGGAACCAAGGTTCCACTCTCTGAGCAAAGACTCTAATGAGGGCCTCAGAAGAGAGTTGAGTCACAACCCGAGCCCCTTCCTGCCTCTTTTCCCTGACTGACAAACTGAAGGATAAGGAGATGCGGAAGATACTGTCACTCTTCCTCCTCCCCCCACTTCTCTGGTGCCAAGGTTGAGCAAAGGTGTCACTGGGGAGGGGCAGGCAGCTGAGGGTGGGTAGCGACACCTCCTTTCAGGCACTCCTGATGTGGGCAGTGAGGTCTGCCCAGCTCCTGAGCTGGGAGCTGAGCACAGGAAGAGGACCTTGCAGCTAATCAGATTAATTAAAAACCATACCTGTTTATATTTTGTGTAGCTCATCACTGCTCCACCATATCACCCCCTTGTTATTAATTCTTGGGGGCTAAATTATGGGTAACACTATTAAAACATTATCAGAACTAATGAGAAACAATTACTTAGAAAATGAGCCAGGACAAGATTGAGTCGAGAACATCGGTGGTGATCGCCGCAGATTAGTTTAATAAATCATCAGGTGCCAGTCAGGACTGACTGCGTGTATGCAAAGCCCGTCACGGGAAAAGGAAATTGAGATTTTTTTTTGCATAATTTTTTCATTAATCTCAATAGGACCCGTGTGGTGTAGATTGCTTTATTCCCCTAATACCTTGCCGGAGGGGGGGGGTGCCCAATAATGTCTTCATTGTTTTACTGAGGTCTTAATGACAATCTGTGACAACCTCATTTTAATGTATAGAGGATTATATCGATACAGTCATGTTTTATTGAAGTGGTCAGGGGAACTCCAATTGGAGCGAGGCACTTCTGTGAGCACAAGTTAGTAAGTTCTGGGGACCTGGGTGCCTTCCCTTCTGATGTCCAAGTTTTGAACTGGGGCAGCCAGGGCGGCTGCCTTGCGGCCTCTCCTCCAGGGACTGCTGGGGAAGCCGTGTCCTGCAGAATGAAGACTTCACAGCCTCCAATTTGAATTTGAAAGTCACTGGTTGCCTGGCATATTTTGCTGGATAATTAGAACAAACCATGTGGTTGTGTTCCCTCTAAAATAGAAGTGTATTATTGTTCACACCTTTACACCCAATAGTTTTGTGGAAGTTTGAGTAACTGGCTTTCTTCCTTGATAACGCGAATTTTCTAACGATGCCATATAAGGAGAAGAAAGGATACAGGCTTCTTCATTTGAAGGAGACTCTGCTTTTAGGATTTCAGTTTGCCGTGCAACATGAATCCTCCGTTTTTATTTTTATTTCATTTTTCCCCTCTAGTAGTAGGAAAGCAGTTGTTGGTACGAAGCCCATTATAAATTTCCAACAGGACTTTGTGCAGAGTGATGCAGGCGAGAGTCACCGGATGGGTCTGTAAMGGCAGAGCATGTGCCTCAGGCTTGGGGACACGGACCTCCCAGTGCAGAGCCCCCGCCCCCCACCACGTCTTCGCATTGCCATTAAGAGGGAAAGTAATTACCTGACCCCAGCATTTAAATGTTAAATCTTTAGTCTTAGTCTTGCCTTCCGCGCTCGGTTTTAAACTGGGGTCGGGGGAGGGGATAACTAGGAGAGCGACCAAAATAGAAAGTCAATCACTTTCGGATTCGTAACTTGGTACCTGCAAGCTTGCGCAGTGGGACCCGGCAGCTTTAAGCTGTTTTGAGTCGGTGATTTTTGTCGTTGTTGTTGGTTTGTTTAAATTCCAGTAATAATTTGGCAGCACACCTCCTTCCAAATCAATAAGGATTGCCAACGACACAAAGTGATCTGTAGGGAGGAACCGAGATCCTCCCTGGCGCCTTTTTGTGGAGTCTGTTTGCTGCGATCAAACCCTTCAGCCCGCAGAACATTTAGTTTGAAAAAGTCTTTCAGGACTTTGTAACTGTGTCCTTCCTTTTTAGATTTTTTCCCCTTTTCTTTCTTTTTTTTTTTTTTTCCCATTTAAAATGATCAACTGGGTTTTACTTTCGCTCCTTCCGACGGGAAGGGCACGGCGAGCCTGGGACCCGCGCGCCGCGTGGGAAGGAGGTGCGCTGCTGCGTCCGCGGCGCGCAGTGCGCGGGTCGCGGCCCCATCCGCGAGCCGCCTGCGCGTCCTGGAGGCCTGCGGTCATCGGCTGGCGCGGCCCTCGGGGTGGGCTGCGGGGACCCGTGGAAGCCAGTGGGGCCTCCCCCAGGGAGGCTGCGGTCCCTCGCCGGCCGGCGAGATGCTCGCGTGGAGCTGCGCTCCGGACTCGCGGCCAATGGGGCGTCCGGCCCTGCAGGGCCACAGTGGGGAGCCCGGCGGCCCAGCGGCCTGGACTTCGGCCCCGCTCACTCACCCGCCCGCCCGCCGCGGGCCGCCCGGAGCCTGCGAGCTTGTCGCGCAGCCCCGCTGTAATGGTGGCAGATCAAAGGCTGCCCCGTGTCCCCGCGGAGCCAGGGACAATCCCGCGCCTTTGTGCGCTGTTGCTAGGAGCCGGAGAAACTAAGAGAAAGTGTCAGGAGCATGTTAATCAGACTCGTTACAGTGTAACAATAACGTCTCTCTCGGGTCTCCCAGGCCCCGCGCACCCCAGCGCACCCCGCTCACAGGCCGGACACCTGCGTGGGGCCCTCGCGCCCGCCCTGAGCACCGACCGCCCCTGTGTCCCTCCAGCCCCGAAGACGACCCTGGACCAAGCGCAAGGACGAGGTCCGAGAGACCGTGCAAGTGCCAGGAACATCTCCCGGTGGTGGTCCCCGTGATCTGAGGCAGGCGCGGTTAACCTGGACTGCTGGAAGCTGGCTAGGTGGCCCGAGGGAGGTGCGGGAGGGTAGAGTCCCGTGGCTCCGCTTCTCACTCGCGGAACTGGATTGCTCACGTTACTCAGATACGATGTTTGAATCAAGAGAAAAAGGAGCCTTGCATTTGAGAACTTTTTGCTTAAGCGTTTCCCCGCCTATGTCTATTTGTCTTGCACATCCATGGAAGATACCATCAATGACCATCCCCAGTTTAAGAAAGAAAAAAGAAAAACTTTGTCAAGATCTGTCAGAGAGTCAAGATTTCTCTGAACTTTTCCCAAGGAATCACTTCATTGGCCCTTTTAGTCATTCCACAAACACCTGTTGAGTAGACTGGGTATCACACAGTTCCCTGAATATCATAGGATTTGCCCCAGATGAACTTTTCTTTTAAAATTAAAAAGGCTTTGCTGGCCATGTGCCTGGAGCTTGGAGCAGGACTGTAATCTCAGCTACTCAGGAGGCTGAGGCAGGAGGATCACAAGTTTGAGGCCAATCTGGACAATTTAGCAAGACCCTGTCTCAAAATGGGGGAGGGGAAGGATGGACTGAGATGTAGCTCAGTGGTAAAGGGCCCTTGGGTTCAATCCCGATGCCATAAATAAATAAATGCCTTTGTGGAAGTGAAGGGAGGGGCAAGGCTGTAAAATAAAGTCCAGTGTTAAAACAAAAATGCCATGGGCTACAATCGTGGCAATAACAATAGGTGTGAATTAAGAATTTTAAATGTTTGGAAAACTGTAAGTCATATGCTGGTTTTCTCCTCTTTCATCTCCTTGTCCCCTCCCTCTTCACCAGCCTGAGGTCTGACAGCATCTCAGAGTTACTGCAGGAACCCACTCAGTCTTGGCCCAT